AGGCCATGGCTAATAATAACGCTCATAAACTTTTAAATTTCTAATATTTTTTTGTCACAAAATACCAGATTATGACTTATGTATAAGAAATAGACATGGTATCGCTGACTTCTTTTTAGACGAGTAAGGAGTAAAGGTCTATATTTTTCTAGAACATTGTATTTACGTATCCCTAACGACAACACCAGCGTACGCGGATAAATCATTTCGGGAGTGCTTTTTCTTCTGACTTACTTAACAAATATCCATATTTAAGGCTAGCTGAGTAATATAGCTTAGTGCTAGATTAGCCTATACTATTCCACATGAATCTGGCTATAATATACAAAAAGAATTTTTCAAATCGGACTGGTTTCTTCTTCTTTCTTCCGCTTTATTATATTAGTATAGTATAGATTAACCTTACTGTAGGAGTTTTGTGTTTTGTCCTGGAAGCGGTTTATATATTATATAAATAAATAGCATAAGGAGACACTTCTAGGCCTGGACAATTTTTATAAGCAATACAATCACTTGCTCCGTGGGGGGTCGAACCCGCGGACCTGCAGCGTCCCGACCAACGCTTAGCCACTGCACTACCAGAGCCTTCCCTAAATGTTAAAATTATCTGTTGTATTCCGATCGCTAGTGAAATAACCAACTACTGTATTCTCTTAACCTGCCTTGGATTTGGGCCTCTCCCATTAAAGAATTTGTAATGGTATTTTATACATGGTAGACCCCTGCTGCAGCTATATTAGTAGTATAGTTGTATCAAGAATGGGTCGGCCCGACCGGGGAAGGACCACGCTGTCACAGAATACCAGCGAAAAATAGTAGCTTAACACTGCTGTATTTGTGCGTATGGTGAGTGTAAAGAACCGGAGACCCTTATGACTGGAAAAAAGACATTCCATCTTAGTCCTCACATCTGACAACGCATCTGTATTTTGATTCGCAAACGAGGATAGACGTAAATGTCTATGGGCCACAGCAATCACCATCAAGTGGACTGTATGCTTGTTTGTCTCCCTATCCTATAAAAAAAGATTTAAAAATCATGTCAACTTATTTTTATTGTATTTAAAAGTCTTCCGTGCTTGCACAAAGTTTCTTAGAACCATAGTACACTATCCTTAGGAGCCTAATCATGCCCGATGTAACGCTTGGTTGCGGGTGTCCATTGCCTGCAGTTGCCACTTACGACTGTTAGCTCTAGAGTCAAGTACTTTTTTATTTGAAACTAACTGTCCCCTGCGACTTCGCTCGCGTGGAATTTCTTACAATTTTATTTAATTGGTTTTAATTTTTTTGCAAGGAACCCTCATACTTTTTATAAAATAAAAGTAGCCTAAGTTACTTCTTATAACATCAGCTATCTGCTAGTGAAAGTCCCGTCTAAATCGATCCAACCGTATTAGAAATTAGCCGGAACAAACAGACAGACGGCCAATAATTTTAAAAATTGTTTTTTTTTTGTTATTTATACCGCGTATACTTTCATATGCATTTAGTATAAAGCTGTTATTTTGACATTACAAACAGAAATTATATAGTATACTAGCTGACCAGACCGACGTTGTCTTGGCCTATCCGACGACCATTTGCTTTCCTAAAAAAAACTCAAATTAGCAATAAAAATTGAGGGTCACTTATCGCGATAGAAACTATCCTATCTCTTAAGTTGGACCAAACTGCACACAGTGTGCAAAATTTCATTGAAATAAGTTTAGTAGTTTAGGAGTTCATCGCGGACAAACAATGTGACACGTAATCTATACATCTATACAAATAAATAAATTGAAGTGTCTGTTTGTAATATCAAAATAACAGCTTTTTACTAATTGCATACAAAAGTATATACAGTGCCTAAAACAGAAACACAATTTTTAATTTTTTTTTGTCTGTCTGTCTGTCTGTTTGTTCCGGCTAATCTCCGAAACGGCTGGACCGATTTTGACGGCACTGTCACTGGTAGATAGCTCATATTATAAGGAGTAACTTAGGCTATTTATATTTTTGAAAAATATTTAGGGTTCCGCGCAACAAAATTAAAACCCTAAATTACACGCGGGTGAAGTCACGTTTATTAAAAGTAGCATATTGCTTTAATCATTACTTAAAGCGATTTTATTGAAATCCGTCTTTAACGTACTTATACACATAGCACTATAGCACAATTTGTTAGCCGTAATAAATTTCGTTGATCGACAAACAATAAGGTATGGACATGATTGTCCTACGCAAATATGACGTAGTCGGCAATGGAATGTGAAACGCGTGCCGTTCTAAGCCAAGCCAAATGGTACTTCTTAACAGATTTATTACATAACTAGCTGGTCCCCACGACTTCGTCCGCGTGGAATTTATTACGATTGGATTTCATGGGTTGTCATTTTTTAGCGCGGGACCCTAATTCTTCTTCCAAAATAAAAGCTTTACGTTACTTCTTATGATATTAGCTATCTGCCAGTGTAAGTCCCATCAAAATCGGTCGAGCTGTTTCGGAAATTAGCTGGAACAAATAGACAGACAGACAAAAATTTAAAAAATAGTGTTTATGTTATTAGTACCGTATATAATTTCATATGCACTTAGTAAAAATCTGTTATTTTGACATTACAAACAGACACTTCAATTTTATTTATTTGTATAGATATCAGAAACATTATATGCCTAGGCAGCGACTATAATTCTCGTAAGACAGTTAAAACTAGTGGCTAAGCAGTCGCCGTATGTTTGATAGTACGTGAGTTCGATTCCCACCGATACTTATGAAAATTTTAAATGCCATTTTAGGAACTATTTTATTATGTATTCGACGGTAAAGCTACCGTGAAGAAATCTAGATATATTCGAAAAATAAAACATAGCGAGAAGCGAGGGCATATGAAGTCCGCCAACACACATTTGAACAGTGCGGTAGATTGGCTGCTCCAAGTAACCTCTCAGATGTATGAAAATCTATACTTTTCTATTTTACGAAGTACGACGGAATTTCAACATGCTTTTATTAGCTTCGCGTACATCTATCTATCTATTTATGTAATGGAATCTTTTAATGTAATTTTCACAGATTTTAGACGGCTAATTGACCTGAAAATTTGCACATATTTGAATACAATAATTTAATTACTTCATCCTAGTATCCTGATCTAGATCACCAGGATAATTCTCTGTAGAATAATCACAGCTCATGATCAATGCATGTTTGTTTATATGTTTGGGAAAATACCATATTTTGTGCCGACTTCCAAAAAGGAGACGGTACTCAATTCGACTGTATGTTTATGTTTTTTTTTATGTGTGTTACCTCATAACTTTTTACTGGGTAAACCGATTTCGATGATTCTGTTATTGTTTGAAAGCTGATACTTCTCGTGTGGTCCCATATAAATTTGATCAAGGTCAGACCAATAGTTTTTGAGTTATTCTTAATAACTTATATTGAAGTCGGCTGTACAACATTTTTAATTTTAAATTATTCTCCAAGTGCTGATTAAACGAGGTTTTCACAACCAACATATGATAATAAATACATTTGAAAATGCCGAATCCAAATTCTAAAAATTCACCAAGTTTTAAAACAACTAAAGTAACCAATGTAACGTTACAAATAAAAGTTAATGATGATTTCAACTGCCCAAATGTGCCAAATCATCTGGGAGATGCCTCAAGCGGTTGACTGATACAGTCTGATGATCTCAAAAGTCCAGCATTGGACGCAATTTCCTATGTAAATAAAAAAATGTTTTTATTTTTATGCGTGCGTATAGCAATTTTATACGGATCTATTTATATATTTTTAAAGAGATAGGTACCAATGATCGCATCGTTAGTTTTCCCACAGCGGAGCAATACAATGCATATCAATGCCCCTTTTATTTTTGTTGAACGTTTGATCAATGAAACGAAAATATTTTATTCCTGTCACCGACCGAGGGACTTGACCTTACTAGGGAGACCGATCGCAAAAAGTAGACCTTGAAAACAGGTTTCTTTTCCGCCGCGAGATGTGACGGAGTTTGCTGCAATAAGAACAAATCATATTAACACAGGCTTAATATGTAGCGACTTACAACCTAAACGTACCTACAGAGATATTTAAGCTTTAATGCATTTACAGGGCGTCATACCTTCGTTATTACCATAAAATAACACTGTTTGGACTTCAATAAAACTTGACCTCGATGGAATGATGTTAAAAATATCTTTTATGTTTTATTATTGAATTTGTTGTATTAAAAAAATATATTATGTGGGTGTGCAGTGCAGTCAGTTCTCGCAACTCATAGCTTCCGATAAGTTCCGTTTTCTTCTGTTTTTGTTTTTCCTTCTTACGTATTTTCTTTAGCGTGCAGTTTCTTCTCGATCAGTTAGTTTATACAGCAAAGATCGAAAATTAATTTGCAATCGTAAGTCGTAAGTTGCAACAAAAGCTAGGGCCAGGCCTTCTGCTCATTTTGGGTGGATAAAATCAGCTAGGGAAAGAAAAGTGTTGGCGGACGTCACTTTAAATAGAAATATTTTTAATTTCCTCAACATGCGGATTTCCTCACGATGTATTCCTTCACCGCCAAGCACATCACCACTAAAAATTCAATAACAATATATTTGATGCCAGCGATGATCGAACTTTGTTTGCTGTACCTGCTGTAAAATTTCAAGTCCAGCTAGTATCCTTTGAGCAACATAGGGGGAATCGACCATAAAAGTGTAGTTAGTTACCGTTACCGGTTCAGCCTATGAAGTCTACTGCCGAACATAGGCCTCCCCATATATTGCCACAGTTGCCACGCTTGTCAGGCGGGTTAGCAACCGTAATGTTTTATTATTTAATTGTTATTAGGAAGATACTGCTGTCCATATCCTGGTTTGTTTCCCTCTGTCGCCTCTTACAACACCCATGGGACGATGGGAGGTAGTGGATATCCTTACACCGCCATTGTACGGTCAGATTTAAGAATTTCAATTAAACCATAAGTTAAGCGAGAAGCTATAAAATAATACTATTGTTACAGTGTTACAACTATGTCGAGCAGAAATCCCAAAGGCATTACCAGTATGGTATGCGGCAAATCTAATAAACGATGCAGGATACCAACTAAAACCACTTACTGAGATATTTGAAACGCAACCAACGTCGAAGAATCCCATTGTTACATCGACGTCATCCACTACGGAGGCAAAGGAAATGCTTGCAATTTCACCAGCTAGCACTACTCGAACAACTGAATTGGAGTCATCCCCATCTTCCGAAGATACTACAAAGCGAGTTATACCATTACGAGAAAGTTCTTCAACATCAGCCGAACCGATTAGAGAACAAAGGCAGATATATCAGCTACAACCATTACAGTTTTTACCACCCCTACCGTCTCTTCCAATCCCAACGTCACAGCAACAAGCTAGCCCGCAGACGACTGGACTACCTAAATACTTCCTCCTATATCAACAAGCGCCGGTATCAATACAACAATACCCCCAATCTGCTTCGCCATCTATATCAAATCCACAACCACCAAGCCAAACTACGAGACAGGTAACAGCACAAGAAACGACTCCAAAGTTAGCTCAACAAACTAATGAATTTACTCAAGAAGAAACACCATCGACAAGGATTTCAACTACACAAACAACAATTTTGCCTTCATCTGCCTTTACAGACGTGCCGAAAAATATTTTGGCAAGACAAGGGCCATTTATAAATTCTACTCCAACACTTGTACCATTGGTTGGGACTTGGCAGGACCCAATTACTCCCTCAAGACCGGCACATTCTAGTCCTGCAATCAGTTCGACTACTCCCTCTAGTAGTACTATGCTGCCATATGCCAACATAAATTTCACTGAGAGAAATCCTAGGCCAAATATAACTACAGTCCCACGACCAAAACAGAGTGGGAATACAATGTCAGCTCTTACGATACGTGTTAAAGCGCCTAGAGGTTCAATCACAAATATAAAAATTAATCCCACAACCACAACAAGGAAACCTTCATCACGTCGATCACAGCGCAGGAAAGGAAATAATTATAATAACTGCGTAGATTCTTGTAGAGGAAAGAAAGAACCGATTTGTGCTGCTCCTTTAGCGGTCATACCGATAGACTCAAACAGTTTGAAGGGTTTCCCTTCGATTTGCCATTTGGCTTGTCATAACTCGTTTAGGAAAAATCGTAAGTATATCGTAATGATTTCTTTTATTTACGCGAAGACTACACATTAAATTAAACTAATTTTTACGAATTTTATCGCGTTTTACTTTTTAATTCCCGACGTTTCGGGTGCTTTACAGCACCCATGGTCATGTCCCCCCCTGACCAACGCGATAAAACCCGTAAAATTAGTTTCATTTAAAGTATATGGTGTTAGTGCTTAATATTTTCCAACTTAGTAATCAATATTTTATGACAAAAACAGCAGTAAAGCAACTTATGGGTTAAGATATATATATAGACGAAATACGACTGACTGACTCATCACGAGATCTCTAAAACCGTAAACCCTGATTGACTTGAAATTTAGTATTACGATAGTCCCATAATAAAAAATGCTTAATAGGTTCCGCAATACAATATTATCATGCGACCAGCGAAGCGAGCGGGTATCAGCTAGTTAAATATAATTACAAGTCGTGAAACATTCTTCAAACAAACAAACAGATTTACAAGCTCATTTTTGTCACTCTAAAGGTAGATTAATTATCATTTTGACCATCAGGTGAATTGCGAAGTCCTTTGAAATTTTTATAAAAGATATAATCTAGGTTTAAAAATGTTTCAGTTGATAAGAAGTTAGAAGTATTATTAGAAAAAAAAACACATTCCAAAAAAATTTAAAACAAATATTTTAATACTTAGATACTTCGTTTTTCACTTATTTTGCTTTTTGTTAAAAATCCCTTATAACGTTATGATTACTTTATTTTCAGAGCCGTTTGAAAAGATCATGGATGGACGTTGCAGTAAACTGCGCACGCGCATCCGAACATTCGACAAGAACAAGTTGAACAGGGAAGAAATGAATAAGGCGCAATACACGATACTAAGTAACAGTCCAGAAACTGTTGTTCAAGTTATACAGAACGATAGAAGTGGTTGATGTTGTAAATAACTATTTCCAAAAAAAAAATTCGCCGTATTCGCTGTGAACAGGTTTATTAATTGTAAGAAAACAGTAAGATGATAGGGAAAGGGTTTCTAATAACATAAGAAGACATCTTTTGCATTTTGTTGCTTAAACATACATAAATAATGCGTAAATATATCGCCATTCGATATTTATCGAACCAGTCAAAAGGCTACATCACATGCAACAGTTTTTTATAATGTAAAGATAAACATGTTATTTCACTAGTAATAACATAGCGATAAGTAACAACCTGTATTTTTAAACAACCTGTTTGTTAATTTCATATACGTAATATGAAATCGGTCAAAAAAGTTTACTCATGTAATCGATTCTGAACGAACATTGTGCTAATTTAACCCGTCAAAAGAAACACTTCCTCCGTAGTAAGACCGTTATCATTTTTAAAAACTTACCTAGCCATATTTTAATACTGCAACGCCACCTTGTATTCGATCCTGTCTAAAATAAAAAGGAAGTAATTTTCCCTTATCAGTTAAATGGAAAAAAATTACATAAGTAGGCTTTCTTACATCGATCTTCAAATACAAAAAAAATGAAATATCTTCTAGAGAAATTCTCTTTTATTAAGAAATTCTCTTTTGTTATTTAAAAATAGTTGGGCTTATTTTTTATTTATAGAATTAAGGAAGCAAAAATACAAACTAAGAACAATGTTAAGATATTGAGGAAGGTAAAAATAACAACACCTAGGAATTACACGATTAAAATAGCAGTGGGCATATTTAAGAGTAAAATTTTATCCTACCTACTCGTACGTAAGATACTCGATTATTAGGATGAACAAAAAAGGATTATAATATTCGATCAACAGCATTGTATCGGATGGTTTTTTTTTTAATTTTATTGTGTAATTCTATCTTAAAATACCAAATCTGCAGCTATTTTCACCTAAAACAAAAATTTAAGACTCAATACAATATGATAAGGCTTATACATTATTGTAAGTAATCATTTAGTTACTATAATATATATAATTTTGCGGAAAAGAATACTACAAACCAGTAATAAAACAACAATATATACTAATACAACATAGTATGTAATATCATACAAGTTTAGTAATGGTTCAAATAATAATCACGCCGTTTGAGGCTTGAACACTCTTGAACATCTAGAACACACTAACTAGTGGTCCGTAGTTCGTAGTTCTGTTTAGGTAGTTGTGTGCTAATGGATAATTTTTATACTTAAGAGTATACGTAATAGCTTGCTTATGTATACTCTAAGATTCTACATCTAGATAATCCACAATCGATTTCGAATATTTACTTAAAGTCATTGAGCGTGTAATACCGCCTAGGTACGTAATATTCGGGCAAACATATTTTTATTTTTATTGAAAGTATGCAACCATAATAACATGCGACTTTGTATATTATTATACAGCAAAAATTTCCCTTATAAACCTAACTTTCTTGAAACGGGATTGCATATAAAGTAAGGATTTAAGTAACATCACTTTTTGTGTATCCTGTAAAGTAGGTATTTTTTATAATTGCGTCTTTTTTACATAGGATGGATATTATATTATATAGGTAATTGTTTTCTTTTAATAACCTAGTGATGTTATTATACAGACTGCTACAAAACCCACCCACCAATATAGTTCATATGTGCAAGTAGCCTATTAGAAACTACTTTTATAATATTTATACTAACTTTAGTATTGTTAACTAAGTATACCTACCTAGTGTCTTAGTAATTTCGACAATGTTAAGGGAATTTTTACTATAAAAATGTTCATACGTAAAAGTACATCAAATGTTTTTAACAGCCTTTTGAAGTCCGCGGCTGGACTCTGTTACTGTTACTGTCTGCTGTTACTCTGTTCTAAGAATGCGCCACTTCGGTAGCACCACTTGAAAGGTTTGTTTATACCGCGCTCGGCAGCCTGCTTTGTAAACTTATAGTTGGTACCCTCGTACTAGTACTGGTTATGCTGCTCCTCATTAGAAAGTCTTTGTTCAGCACGTCACTACGTCCAAATGAGGGAGGCCAGTTCAATGAAATGTTATATAACGCTCACACCTTAAATATCTAAAAACCGAACAATTTTTTGTTTTATTTAAGTACTTATATTTTAGTAACTTCTATTTGTAGTGCAATAAATGTAACCGGTCCGTCCATGGTTTTATAAAATTAAGTTTTATTACTTACATACTTAATTATATTTTTTTAATATCAAATTTATATAACAGTTTACAAATAAATGATTAGTCAATGTATATTTTACAGGCCAATAAAGATTTAAATATTGTGGATTTTTCTTTCAATGTTACCTTCATGCCTGAAAATTCACAATCACCAATGGACTTTTCCAGGCAGATTTTGAATGTCTTTTACTTTTGTTTTTCTAAATTTGACCTCTTTTTTACATACTACTCATGTATCGAGATGGTATTTTAATTATTAAATGTAATTTGCATGTAAAATATGTAAGTAACCAAATACATGTTCCGTGCGGGAGTCGAACCTACTTAACGCTTAGCCACTGCGAAACGGAGTGCTGTAATGTGCACAAGCGATAAGTAGTATCGAAGCATTCCATTTTAATCCTCAGAAGTGACCACCAAATATAGATTCTATGGGCCACATCACCTCGTTTGTCACCCTTATACTGTTTAAAAAAATCTGTTTTGTAAGAAAAACATATATGTTTACTCATAGTGTCCATACATTTATCCTTATTATCTATAAATTTTGCCATCTCGACGGAAGATCGCCTATGTCTTTGCTATAGAACTTTGGGGATTTGAGCAAAAGTATTTTTACCACTTTCTGAGAACAAAATTTTTTTCTTTTAAAAATTCTAAATTTTGCGGGAGACGACGCTATCATAGATCAGAAATAAGTGAATATAGCAGCATTAAGAGAGTGGAAGGGCATCTGAGGTTCATCTTCTAAACATAACGGCTTACTATGTACGTACCAATTACAACATTTAAAATATTTACGAGAGAGGAGAGATAACAGAGAGAGTAGAGTTCACACTACCCAGGCAATTAGAGTAAGGTACCCAATTATTGGCACTTTAAGTATCACTGTGCACTTAGATCGTGTAAACTGTCTTTATAAAGTGATATTAATGAACGTTTTTATTACATGACACGTCTACTATGTCATCATTTATATGTGGTTTATTTTGCAATTTTTCTAAAGAACACGATTTTCCCAACTATCAGCACACTTTGGCTAATTATCAGCATAGGTCGTCCCATTTATTGGCACTGAGGATTTGCTAACGGAAATTGTAAATGATATTACCTAATACGAGGGCTGCACTAAAAGTATCGGGAATGGATTATTTCCACTGTTCCTGTCATATTAAAATCTTTTTTAATTGAAAACTCCTTGGTTTTAAAAATCGAATACCGTTTATTTATTTAAAAAAAGATTCTCGGTCTTGTCAGGTTTTGTCAAACTTGTTTAGTCGTTGAGAAAATGGAATTGACTCGAGAAAATTCAAGAGCGATGATTTATTATGACTTTCGAAGTGATTTAACACAAAAACAGTGTGTTAACCGGATGATTTCTGCATTTGGTGATGAAGCCCCATCCAAAACCACAATTTATCGCTGGTTTGCTGAATTTCAACGTGGACGTGTCAAGCTCAGTGATGATCCCCGTCAAGGTCATCCAAAAACTGCAGTCACCCAATTGTTCATGCAAGTTTATTTGTCAAATACAAATAATCTTGCATGAACAATTAGGTGTAAAAAAGTTGTTTTCCCGATGGATACCGCATTCGCTCTGTGAAGAGCAAAAAGCGGCTCGCGTTACTTGGTGCGTCAGAAATCTCGAAAGATTCCACGCAGGATCCTCAAATGCTGTATACAACATCTTATCAGGTGACGAATCCTGTATATACGCGTACGAACCCGAAACAAGAAACCAGTCACGAGTTTGGGTGTTCGAAAATGAGTTAAAGCCAACAAAAATTGTTCGTTCACGGAGTGTTGCAAAAAAAAATGGTGGCCACGTTTGTCTCCAAAACCGGCCATGTTACGACTATTCCTCTTGAGGGACAAAGAACGGTTAATGCAGAATGGTATGCTAGCATTTGTTTGCCACAGGTCGTTTCTGAACTCCGTAAAGAGGACTGCAATCGCCGCATCATCCTCCATCACGACAATGCGAGTTCTCACACCGCACACAGAACAAGAGTTTTTAGAGCAAGAAAACATAGAATTATTAGACCATCCGCCGTACAGCCCCGACCAAAGATCATAGAAACAATAGGAGATGTGCCCGGTACGTTAAAATATATCGGCACCTATTGTCGCCAGTTTGTCCCCGCCACTCGCCAACCTCTACACATGCAGTTCAGTAAAATCAAGATACACAGTCGCGCACACATCCGCATTTTATGTTGTTTCTATGATCTGTGGCCCCGACCTAAGTCCTAATGATTTCTACACTTTCCCTAAAATAAAGAATAAATTGCGTGGACAGAGATTTTCGTCACCTGAAGAAGCTGTGGACGCCTACAAAACGGCCATTTTGGAGACCCCAACTTCCAAATGGAATGGTTGCTTCAATGATTGGTTCCATCGTATGGAAAAATGTGTCAAATTTCGCGGAGAATACTTCGAAAAGCAATAAATACATTTTTAAATAGTAATGTTGTGTCACTTCCTTGATTCCCGAAATTTTCAGTGCCGCCCTCGTATTGCATAGCTAGGATAAAGTGAAAAACAGGTTAGTAAAGAATCCCATTTATTTATGTAGCTACCTATACATGTAGAAATGAAAATAATTTAGGTTTAGGGAGGTAACTCTACTTAGCAAACATTTTTTGGTTCATATAGTATCAAAATCAACACAGCTATTTAGTTAAATTCTTATAAAAATTATATAAGTAGGCGAAAATATGTCTTTATACTAATAAACAAAAACTTGAGAAGATCAGATCAATGGTATGTTTTGTTATTTCTTTTTTAATTAAATTTAGTCTTCAAATTCAGTGAAAACTTTCTCTAATTCTGCTGCAGCGTATAATATCTTGTGTTGTTTTCTGTCATTATTGTCAGGTACTGAATTAGCATAGTCAATATTATTTTCCTTTTCATCTTCTTTTTCATCCGGTTTACTGCTTTTACTGGTTTTAGTATTCGGTATTCTCACAGTATCGAACTTTTCAGGTAACACAAGTTTCTTCAAACCTATCTACATTCGTTCGTTTTCCTTCTTTATTTTTAATTTAGCTGGTACGTCTCGTTTAGGCCCATCCCGATGAGGAGGTAGAAGAAATGTATGAGGATATCTCTAAAGCCATGCATTCCTCCAAAACCCACTATACGGTGTTAATGGGAGACCTCGATGCAAGACTTGGCACAAGAGAGAACGGTGAGCTGAAGGTAGTGAAATTTGAAATAGAGCAACGGAACCCAAAGAGGGATTCCTTATGATGAACTCTTTCATCCAGAAGCGGTCCCACAGGAAGTGAACCTGGTCGAGCCCCGACGGTTCGACAAAATATTACATTGACTTCATTATGACGACCAGACGACAACTGTTCAGTAATGTCTCAGTGATCGCAAGGGTGAAAACTGGTAGCAATCACCGAGTAGAGAGACATCCTGAACCTAAACGTTAAGTTGGAAAGGTCTTTTTTTTTATAGTATAAGGGTGACAAACGAGCACACAGTCCACCTGATGGTAAGTGGTTGCTGCGGCCCATAGACATCTACATCTATCCTCTTTTACAAATCAAAATGTAGATGCGTTGTCACCTGCGAGAACTAAGATAGAATGCCTCATTTCCAGCAAAAAGGGCCTCCGGCCACCTGCACTCACCAAGCGAAACGCAGAGGTAAACCTCTACTTCACGCTGGTCTTCTGTGAGGTCGTGGTACCACCCCGGTTCGAGCCGGCCCATCCGTGCGACAGCGAAAGCTGCTGCGTGGCTCTACCACTGTTAAAAGGTCTCGTCTAATGAAGTCAACGCTCCGTCCCCCTCGTGCTCTAATCCAAAGCTCGAGTTACAAAACCATTTTCAGTGCCTAGGAGACTGCAATGCAGTGAACGATATGAATGACACGCTCGTGGAAACTGTCCATGCAGTCGGAGCAAGACCCGCCGCAAAAGAAAACAAGAACTCTCCGATCACACTCTTAATCTCATGGCTGTTAGACGGAAAATGAAGCTGCAGTCTTCATTTCAGATTTGACAGCATACAGGCAAGTGAACAGACAGCTCTCAAAATGCATGCGGTGGGACTTACGCGACTTCAATACAGCTCGTATTGAAGAAGCGATCGAGCGGAACCAAGGCTCCAGTCTTTGCCAGAGATCTGTCTGCCAGAAAAAGCCAACTGTCAAAGCTGAAGACCGAGTGTGGCAGCATCGTTTCCGGGACACCTGAGATTTTGAGTAAAATTGAAAGGTTCTATGGGTAGATGTACACGTAATCGTTGGAGCCAAATGTGAGTAACTATCGAAGTCTTATCGACACTATACCAACGATATCACGGACGCCAGTCTGAGCGAGATTAGAATGGCTTTCCAGCACCTGCATTGCTGGCCGCATGAGGACGCTTAAGGTCGCGAGCTATGAAGAGGCCTTTGCTCAGGGTTTCTCTGCGTGATAAACTTATAAATGAGGATATTCGCAGTAGAACTAGAGTGACCGACATAGCTCAATGGATTGGTAAGCTGAAGTAACAATGGGCCGGCCATAAGGCTTATAGAACCGATAACCGGTGGGAAAAAAGGTTCTAGAGTGGCAGCCTCGTACTTGGTAAGCGAAGTGAAGAGCGACCCCCCACTAGATGGAGTGACAACCTGGTAAGACATGCAGATGGCACAGCTGTGCCATCTGCATGTCTTACCGTGCTGATGATGATGAACTTTTGACATCTTTTTCTGATACGGCAGCACTGGGTGCTGTGACTGCATCAGCTGTGCTGAAAGATATGTTTGGATGTCGCTGAAGAAATAGTTTATATCATTTCTCTCCGTTCTTGAAAACACGAGTCCCGTTACTATTTTTCAGAAAGCTTGCTACTAAGCTAAGTAATCTTTGCGGTTTGCGAAGGCTTTTCTACAACTAAGTAAAAGTCAATCTTCTAGGTCTTTTTCTTCCTTTTCCGATAAAATAGTGGGAGAGCCTGGACGTGACTGATGTTCAGGGTTTCTATAATGCAAAGTAGCCCGCGGTACTTGATAAGTCTTTGCTGCCAATTTTTTGCTCATTCCTTCTTTCACGGCTTGCAAGGCCTTGTCTAAGTTTTCTGAATTGTACGCCTTACGTCGACATATTTCTTTCTTTCTTTTGCCAGAGCTCTTTGTCCTAGTTTTTGGTTTCATGTTCAAAATAGGACAGGTAGACTGAAAATAAAATCGTAACTTTACATCAATTGTGAGCATACTTATGCCTAATTATTGGCCCTAGTGGAAATAGTTGGTAAGCTCGCGGTTGGCACCGGGGCCAGAATTCGGAAACATTGTTTTTGGCTTTAATTTATTGATTAATAAACATAACTAGCTGGCCAGGCAGAGGTTGTTCTGCCCTTTCCGACGACCCTTACTATAAAAAATCCTTAAATTCGCAATAAATAAATATTTAAGTTTTATCGTTTTATCGGGATAAAAGTATCCTATCTCTCAAGTTGGACCAAACAGCACTCAGTGTGCGAAATTTCACTGAAATCAGTTCTTCTCTTATTCTTCTCGTAATTTTTATATCTAAAGATTAGGTGTTCCAGTACATATTATATAACGCACAAAATAAATCTCTAAAAACAATTACTCAGAAAAACCAATTATCGTCATTACTGCCAATAAATTGGAATTAAAAACACATAATTAACTAAATTTCGACGATATTTTAATAGCTCTTACCCTAGCAAAAATACAGTTTTCACTGGTGAAGTCGAGACACGTTCAGCTGTTGTTATCATACCGACGCCATTGAGATTTTTTTATTTTTAATGTGTTACCATTTTAGTACCAGCTCAGGATTGTATTACTCTATTTAGATAACTTGCAACACCGTGAGATTAGGTTTTTCTTAGAGGGGTGCCAAAATAAGGTTACTTTACTCTGTAGTTTAGCTACATGCATAATATCAAAAACGTTAAAATGTTTGCTAAGTTAACCTAAACGTTAAAATTGCGTAAGCGTTAAAGAAAGAAATACAGATGGAAATAAAGTACAATACATTATATTATAGGTATGTTAATAAATAAGGAGAGTAAAAGCCTATAGCAATACTTCATTACAATTATATCAATTTTAAAATTTTACAATTCTTACTTAATTTGCCATCAATCTTCAGCACCATTTAACAGTAACAGTTTCAAAATTGGACAGAAATTATGAACGATGCAATCCATGGTGAAGTCATATGTTCAGCAGTGCACAATTATAGGCTAAAATGAGCGGATAAAGTACAATTCACATTCCAGGCAGTTGTTGAAGTTTGTTCTAAACTTGACCTTTCTACATACTTCACGATATATGAGATTTTAGTTGTATTTTAAATACGTTAATTTATAACCATATCTCCTCAGTCCTATTTGACAGTAACATTTACCATTTCCGAAATCGGACAGAAATTATAAATTGCGCAGGATATATTAGTGCTACAATGTACTGTACTACAATATCTGAACTACCATCCATTTACTGTGAAAACTGCGTTATACCCTCAGAAATAGTGTCTAGGATCTGGGTTTAATTATCGACCCGTCTCTTAGTTGGATATCACAGGTGTCCGAACACCTGTGATATCCAACGTTTGTCGTAAAGTCACAGACATACTTCGTTCCTTCTATCGCCTTAAGTTCTTTCTTCCATTTTCTATTCCATTATTTGACTATGCCGATGTTTGTCTAACTAATATTTCTCAAGAGCTGCTAAACAGGTTGGACAGGTTACTTAACAACTGTATCCGATTCATCTTTGGCCTGTGCAAATATGATCACGTTTCAGAATTTCGCTCTCAGTTAAAGTGGTTGACTACACGCCAGCGCAGAGATTTCCGAATCCTGTCCACTCTGTTTTCAGTTCTTAATGATCCTTCCTCACCCCTTAACTAAAAGAAAGATTTCAATTCCTTAGTGACACTCATTCTCTCAATCTCCGTTCTTCACAAAGTTTATTCCTGTCCACACCTCTCCACCATTCTGGGTCTATGTCAAATTCTTTCACAGTTACTTCCATTACCCTCTAGAACAAATTGCCTGTTGACCTGCGAACAATACTTTATGAGCATATCCGTAGCCTACAAAGTTGAGTCAAGTTATTTATATGTTTATAGTTATTTATATATACATTTATTGAGATATATATGTATAAATGTGTGTATTTATTTATATATGTATACGAATTATATATGTTTTATATATATGTGTATATTTTATGTATGTGTTGCATGTATATATTTGAACTGAATTATATCATGACAACTTAACTGCCCAAACTCACTCTCTGTTCTACCCAAGGTTAGCTGGAAGAGAATGCCATATAGCATTAAGCTCGCCTATTTTACAAATATTTAGTGCAATAAAGAATAAATAAATGTAACGCTTGGTTAAGCGCAGATATACTATGATGTTAGTATCTGCTAGGACCAGCAAGTACTGCCACCAGAACTTGTTTCTAGTAAAGCATAGGGGTAGAAGGGCCCGGGTTGTGTTCTGAACGGTGATCCGAAGACTTCCTGTCTACGTTGATAATGACCACCGTGGAGTTTTCGCAGCTAGAAGTCCAGCATAACCTTCCGCAACCTATGCCTTTATCGCTGCTTTCCTCGGTAATCTAATTGAGTTGAGGCCAAATGCGTGTTAATATCAAATATAATAAAACAAAATAGTTGTCAGAAATTATATTTTCTTAGTGATTTCCTTATTTCAGTACAAAATAACAGTTTAGTGCAGTAGTTTATACATATTTAGGGTTATTTCGTTTATCCACCCTAGGGTGAATACTCGGAAATACATGTTCATTTATCCACCCCAGACGGGGTGGATAATCGGAATTCGTATATTATTTTTCTTCCGATTTTCTCCCTCGGCTGTGTACAGTCCTTTATAAAAACATGATATATACTGGCCTTAGATTACTTGGGTAGACATTAGCAAACTATAAAAATACATACATAATATAAGCCCCGCAATTTGATATTGCGACTGGCAGCCATCTTAGTGACGTAGTCGAACTGTCAGTACCGTTTACAAGGTCAGCCAGCGCTTACGCGTAGAGAGTACCTTTACCACGTGTTTTTATAGCTTTTTATTTTCGTTAAACTGTTTTATTTTTATTTTAAATAATTTGTTATTGTTATCATACTTATTCTGTTACAATGAGTAAGAAAGTAATTAACAGCCGTGCCCGTGAAATGATTATTAAAGTGGACAATTATTTTGTAAAGGAGAAAGAGGACTCTTTAAGTTATTGATTAAAAATATAAACGGTGCTCTAAAATATGCTTCGGACACTAATGAGGACATGTTAATTTCAAAGCAACTTGTAACGAACATTTTAACTCTGCGCCCTCTTCTCCCAAAAGAGGGTCGCTTCCGATCCGGCAAAAAAGCTTAATCAGCCAATTGCCAGTCCCACAGGCGGTTTTTAGTGGATATCACTTAGGCTCCCGGTTAGGTTAGACACCGTGAGTCCCACATAACCACGACAGACCGGTTGTCGTGGTATGCATAAAGCATTTACCGCCTCTTCGCGTATCGGGGTAGCCCATTTTCCAATTGCTTCTGGGCGCAAAAAAAAAACATTTTAAATGTTTTACATAATTCTACTAAAGTGACGGAACGTGTGGCCTGTGCTACGGGTATTGCAAAAATACAGTGACAAAATTACGAGAGCATGAATCTGTAACAGCTAGTGGCAGCAAAATGAAAACCACAAAAGCAAAGAGACATAGAAAGGAACATTTCGACGGATTTTCTTTAACAGAAGAAATACGATTCATTTTATGTATACGATAAGAAAAGAAATACCTACAATGCGCAAGATCATGACAGCTGCAAAAAAGACTTTAATTATACAGGAAGTGAAACAACATTAAGAAAAACAATCAAAAGTGATTGACAATGACTTGCTAGGTGCAAACAAAAAAAACCTGTTATCTATCTCGATGAAACATGGATACACGCACACTACACTGTAAAAAAATGGTGGCAAACACCTACAGATGTTGGAGTGAGAAGAAATGATAGCCCTGGCCGCCGACAGATAATAGTGCACCCGGTAAGTGAAACTGGTTTTGTAGATAATGCACTTCTAATGTTTAAGGCAGACATAAAAACCGGGGACTATCACGATCAAATTAACGCTGAGAATTTCACAAAGTGGCTGACTGAAAAGCTGATAACCAACATACCAAGCAATTCAATTATTGTAATGGACAACGCCCCTTATAGTAATGAAGAAATAGTAAGGAAGAAAATAAACCTTCCAACATGAATTCTAGAAAACAAGTCATAGTTGAGTGGCTCTAAGCTCACAACATCAACTTTTCAAATAAATGCATGAAACCGGAGTTATATTTATTAATAAAACAACATAAATCGCCGAAAACTTATAAAATCGAGAAATTGTTAGCAAACAATAGCCATGAAGTAGTAAGATTGCCACCATATGACTGCGTCCTGAATCCTATCCAATATATTTGGAACTTAGTCAAACAGTTTCCGAAAAGAATGTATCTAGAACAATTAGAAAGTAAAATTGAATCTTTGACCTTGGAGGCGTTGGCGTCAATAACTCCAGATGATTGGAGACTTGAAGAAGAATACCAGAGTAAATACCGAATAACTGACGAATTATTTATCAATACGGCAGACGACAGTCTGATACAATGGACTCTGAAACTAGTTCTGATTTAGATGATAATATGAGTGGAATTGAAGAATTAGTGTAGAATTATTAAATTGTATTAATAAACATCGATTTTTAGTACTTTTTTAATTTATTAGTTGTCCATTAAAATTGGTTGAGAGGTTTAATGAAAACGTATCAAACATACAAGACTTCTTTCACGTTTATTATATCAGTAGGTAATTTAATAGGAAATATTTATAATGAAATACCTATAAATATATGTATATAACATAATATACATACCTATAACCCTAGGTTATTAAATTTTTTCACCGGAGGTGGCAACACCTCACGCAAAAAGAAGATTAACTTTTTTATTGTCTGTACTTTTCTACGTTGGATGACGTCACGAAGCTATTGTGACAAAGTTCCATCGCAATATCTACGTGCGGTGCTTATACATACTTCTTGTTTAAGGACCTGTCCGCACAGCGATATTTCACCGCTAGGCTTATTTTTCGAAATTCTGTTAATACGTTGAATCTAAAGAGCGTAGCCGCTCTGGCCGCAAAAAATCGCGCAGGAAAAAATCTGTGATTTGATACAAATTTAACGCGAAGCCGTGCGATTAATTTCCACGCGAATATTTTGTGCAGTGTAAAGTATGGCTATGTCCGCACTGCGGAATAAAATTCGCGCATTTTCCTTAGTCGTGCAACAGCGCTATTGAAAATATGTCGAATCGCGCGCTTCTTCGCCTACCCGATCGGCGTCCGTGCAAGAAAATTAAGAGATTGATGTGGAACAACTAATCTCGAAGTCAGAATCATCTAGAAGTTCCTCATCTTCCACATCTTATTCATCCTCATCATCTTCAGGATCTTCCAGTGATAGTTCCAAAACAGACTCTAGTAACGAACAGAACAAAACACAAGGTAACATAGTTCAGGTAACCGCAGAAAAACAATCAGAACAAACAAACATTAATAATCCAGCAAGACAGAAGTTTCGCTAAATCAAAAAATCGGAGAAAATACTACACCACAAGAAGAAAAGAAGGGAAGGAAACGTAAACGGAATGAAGAAATTTGGAAACAGAATAAAGCTAAAATTCTTAGAAATGCTGGAAAACCATACATTAGCAAGAAAAATATAGCAATCAAACTTCGTTCTGTTCAACCATCCTGTGATGATAAATGTAGGCTCAAATGCTGTGATAAGATAACTGTAGATCAAAGACAAAAAATTTTTGATGTGTATTGGAATCTCGGCTAGGTTGATGCTCAAAGATCATTTATTATGTCTTGTAATCCAAGAAATCGCAATCAAGCATTCCATTTCTTAGTAGAAGAGAAATCGTTACGAGTCTGTAAAACGTTTTTTATGAAAACCTTGGATATTTTTCTATCAAGAGCAAAATAGATGAACATGGAATTCTAGCACAAGATCTTAGAGGACAGCACAGGAACCATGTAAGGGTTGATGAACAATTACTAAACGATATCAAACAGTTCATAGACGCAATACCAAGAGTTAAATCCCATTATATTAGGCAATATTCTACTCGTGAATACATTGATGGTGGGAAAACAATTTCAGATCTTTTCAGGGGCTTTAAGAAAATCAAATTAAAAATAACAAAGCAGCTAAATAACTAAAATTTCATAATTACGATGTTAAACAAAAAAGTTGACGGCGAAATTAAAGACTCGTATGATGATGTACACTGTTTCTTCTGGAACGAAACCGATGCTAAACGCGGGGCCAATGAAATCGGATCTTGTTTGCTAAAAGTTTTTAAGAAACTCTCAGCGGAGTCACCAAATGACAATGGGTGTAATTTAATTCTTTATTCTGACAACTGTGCCGGTCAAAAGAAAAATAAAATTATAGTAGCACTTTACCCGTATAGTCACTCATATAAATATTAAATCTATAACTCATAATAATATCGATAGCCTCATAGAAAAGGAGATTGCAAAAAATCTAAAATCCGGTCCAATATATTCCCTTCACCAATATGTAGCCATAATTAAAAGCGCAAAGAAGTCTGTCAAGAAATTTTTAATACATGAACTGATTTGAGTCGTTTTTAGACTTGAAAAAACTGCAAGAAGATGAGGGTGTTAATTTTAATAAAACTAAAGACGGGAGACCTGTTTTAAAGGCTGACTTAAAGGTGATAAAAGTGAGCAACCTTTTTCATTTTTCGTTAAAACCTCGTATAAAGATAGTGAATACCAGGAAGTGAGCGTCAGAAATAAAAGTAAAAAAAAATATTTCTCTGTGTGAAATTGTACCAACTAATGTCTACATAAATAAGCAAGAACTAAGTAAGAATAAAAAGAAAGATCTGAGAGAGCTATTATCAAAAAAATTGATCCCAGATTTTTATAATTATTTATAATTATCTATTATTTAAGAATAACCTTAACATTGATTACAGATTACATACCAAAGTTTATATTTTATGTTTTATAGAGATTTAACTAAAGTTGATTATGACATTGTTTTATTTAATAGGTTGGATCACCAAAGTTGGTTTATTTTTTTAAATGTAAATTAGAATTTTTAGTTTTTTTATAGCGTTTCTTTGTACAATTGGAACAATTTTCCGGCTTGATTTTTATTATGTTGATGTATAGAAACTATTAATAAGACTTTTTATTAATTAAAAGATATTTATGTTTTTTAAATAATAAAAAAACGCCAATGTCAGTTTATTTATGGTCTGCTCATTTGAATAAAGTGGCCCAATCTCTAAATGGGTTTTACTAAAGTAATCATATACAGACTAAATACCGAATTAGTAGTCATTATAAATAATACATTAGTGAAACTGAAATAGGCAGGAAAAATCGTCTTTTTTGAATTAAGTCAGTATTCCATTAACCCTTATTAAAACAAAGGGAAATATATTCCCATCTGCTTGTTACAAAAAAAAACTTTCAGTATTTTTATAACGGTAACACCAACTGTAAGCAATGTTAAAGGAAATAAAAATTAGATAAACATTTTTTTTAATAACTGGAAACACTTATTCCAATTAATCAAAAAACAATGTCCTACGTCAATGTCAAAGGCAGTCATTGTCAATTTTGTTGAAATTTTATTTATTTATTTATTTTTTACCATTTACAACTATCATCACAGGTGTATTACCTAATACAATTAACGGCTTTCCCAAGTATTATTGTGATTTTGTGATAAAAAAAATTTGGTAAGTGCTTTTACTCAATAGTATGGTAAACTAGAGTTATTTTCCTAACGTATTACATAAAAATCAGCTAGAAAAAAAAATTTGGTAGTTTTTTTTTGGTTAAAAGTGGGAAATTATTTCCCATTGTTTGTTCCTGTAAGTTCTGAATCTTATTTTATATATATATATAATCTGTTGTCTGCTCAGTTTACAATAATATGTGGGTTTGTGATCAAACTAACTGATCATTCTGTTTTAATTTACAGCATCACCATCATGAATCGAAATCGAAAACGACCTCTTACCAAAAAAGAAGTCAGCGAATATATCGAAAATCTAGCTGACTGGCTGGTGATTCAGATGATGATCCGTGCTATGACACTTGTATTGTTTGTCCAGTAGAAAGTTTTATTAATGGACCATAGAGTAATTTAATAGAGATGAGACTAGAACAGATGATGGGTATCGAAGATAATGTCGATGACGAAATTGTGGAAAAAGATCCTTTTAAACATACCACAGAGTCATTATTAGAAGTTTTAGGCCACCAATCACCCATCAACTCATCTCTAGAAAATTATAGTAGATAATTTGACGCTCAGGAACAATGTCAGGAATTTCAATACCAGCAAGAAAATGAAGACCTATCGGAAATTATGTCATCAATTACACCAATTGCTCATAAGCAACCTTTTACATCGGAATTTCACTTTCCCTACGACATTCCCTTTGAAGGTGATGTACAAGAAGCACGAAGTCACAACAAAATTATTAGGGATCGATCTCAACCAAGACAACACACAAAACTCCACCGTTGACTGTCTTCGAAAGATTTTTTCCCGATAAATTGATATTAATATTGGTAGAACAAACAAGTAGATACGCGTTACAAAAGAATAGTCTCACTTGGATACCAGTAACAGAACAAGACATCAAGGCATATCTAGGAATCTTAATTTTGATGATATGGAGTTAAATTGGTCATCAGACAAATTTTATCATAATAAAGAAATAGCACAAGTGTTTCCTCTAGTAAGATTCAAAAAAATTATCGAAAATGTTCACATAAACGATAACACAATGGAACCACCAAGAGGGTCACCAGATCAAGACAAACTTTTCAAAGTAAGACCTTTTATATCGGAACTAAACAGTTTATTTGAAGGAAGCATATAACTCACAAGTACAGTCAGTGGACGAATGTATGGTGAAGTTTAAAGGCCGTAGTTCTCTTAAACAGTACATGCCTAAAAACCCATAAAAAGAGGTTTTAAAGTGTGGGCAAGGTGCGATTCCTAAACAGGATACTTATACCAATTCGAGATATACTCAGGTAAAGGTGACAATATAGAAAATGAGGGACTGGGATATAATGTAGTCATGAATCTTTGTGCTAATATACCAAGAAACACATTAGTTGCTTTTGACAACTTTTTCACAAGCTGCAATTTGATGGAGGATTTATATGAAAAAGGGATATATGCAGTGGGTACAGCGCGATGTAATAGAAAAGATCTTCCTGAAATTATGAAGAATAAGCAGCCGAAAGCTTTAAAATTACAAAAGCATCAATTTGCTTCCGTAACTGCCGAACCTATAACAGCTATAAAGTGGTTTGATACCAAAGAAGTATCAGTGCTTACCACGGCACATATACCACTTGATATAATGTTTATCAATCAAACCCAAAAAGATGGATCAAAGCAAAAAGTCCTATGTCCAACAGCTAATGCTGTTTATACACTAAGTATGGGCGGAGTCGACTTATTCGACCACTTTAGGTCCTCTTATCCAATTAGTAGGAAGTCACGAAAATTTTAGATGCGACTCCGGTTCTTTTTTTTTTTTTTGGATGCATTAATTATTAATGCATATATAACTTATAACTCGTACCACCCACGTATAATATATAATAACGTATAACCCACGTGGCGACATTGCACTCACATCGAAATTTTAGACTGCGCCTGGCACGGGCTTTGATTAATAACTACACAACTAGAAAACTATCCACTGTCAACACACATTTTAAAAACAAAAAAGGTGGTCAATTTGGTGTACCCGACGAAATAAGATTGTTAGAAGTAGGAATACATATGCCAGAAGAAACCGCGACGTATAAACGGTGTCGAATTTGTAGTACTGCAAAAAAGGAGCAGAGATCAAAAATTCAATGCAGTACGTGCAAAGTGAGTTTGTGTGCAAAGAAGTGTTTTAAAATGTTCCATATAGTCAAGCAATAATTTTGTAAGATTCATCATCTTCAAAAATGGCATTAAGTTTCCTAAAATATTTTTTTCAATTATATAACAAATAAAATTTTGTATTGCATGTTACATGTTTTTTTTTAATTTTACATTCCTAAAATGAAAAGTGAAGCAGAGTGACGAACTAATATATGAAAAGTAGTAAAGTTCTTGAAAAAATTGTAACCTATAATGAACAATAGGAAATTATTTCCCACTTGATGATAATTTGTAATGTCGTTACGAATAATGGGAAATTATTTTCCACTGCAAAACCCTTTCCCCCCCATTTTTTCACGTTTTTTCCATAAAATTTGAAATCTACTCGCAAATCTCACCTAAGAACCGGTCCCAGTTTTTATTTCCTTATAAAAAAAAATTCCATTTGTTTAAGGGTTAAGCATGCGTTATGTTTCTAAAGTGAGCCACAACAAGTGGTTAAATGTTTTGTTTAATGGAATAGTGACTTAATTTAAAAATGGTCAAAGTTGAGTGAAACGTAGACCTATTTTCAGTTAGGTCAACAATACCTATTTATTTTTTGTAAAATAATGGCTCAGTTCTGATAGGTTAAATTAAAATTCATTTATTAAATTAATGATTAAAAAAAATTTTTAAGAAAATGTAGGTGGTTTTAGTTATTTATTACGATTTTTAGCTGTGATTATACAGCAATATAAAACAAATGCCAGTTACACATAAAACTTTAAATGTCATTTTTGCTAAAAGTTAGTGATATGTCGCGGCACGGAAGTCTAGCACAAAACGAAACGTGAAGGGGACGCGCACAAATTGAATTGCACGAATGCGACTGGAGAGCCAATCAGCGCGTGCGAACGATACGCACGAGCCAACGAGCGCAACTTTTGCGTCATAACCCAATAAAGACGAAAAAGACTTTCGTGTCCCTACTTATAACATCTTACCTTAGAGTTATCAAGTCTTTCTTCAGCTGAAATTTCTTTTCTCCAATTCGTATCTTCATAGGTAATCGCTGGACCAACTAGTTGTACATAGTAAATTATCGAATCATTTTTTTTTGTCATTCTGTAATAGCCAAAAAACTTTTTGCTGTATTTTCTAACGAAATTTTATTCACAGTGCGTACTAGGTGTAATTCCGACTTTAATACGCAAGAATAAATACCTCTCCGTGAAATATCGCTGTGCGGACAGGCCCTAAGGTCAAAACTGAAATAACTTTAATAGTTCAAATACATATCATTCGATGTGACATAATTTACGTCATTGAGTAATGATGATAATATGGCGTTTGTGAATTACTCAAGCATATACTACAAAGCTTTGACATATATGTTCAATCATATCTCGACCAGAAAAATTGTGTGGTGTACCGTCTCTACTAAACCGTCACTTAATGTTCATAACCAATCAATGTGGGATACAGAAGTTGAACACAAGCAACGATCCAAAGCCTGAGGTGATCGACACGGCAATATTTAAAGGGTCACACATCGCGACGGTTTCAATTTAATTTGATATTAAATTGAAACCGTCGAGATGTGTGACCCTTGTAGTTCGTTCAAGTGATTTAAAATAAAGAATGTTCCATTTTAAAAATCAATCTAAAAATATTACACTGAATGTTTTTGTACAATTTTGATTCCATAAATTTTCTTATTATTCCACTATAAAACAAGAGTAGTATACATTTTTTGATCTCGAATTTCATCCCATATTATAATAATACATAAAATATTTAAGCGCGTTTTCTAGAATTGAACTATCTTAAACAAAAGCACTTGCACGAAAAAACTGATCAATTATTTTATGACATGCCTTATGTACCGTATTCTCTAAGCATTAAAAAATAATTTCATAAGTTTAAGTGTACAAACATACCTTATAATAACATTTTAAAAACTTTTTATGTTTATAACATAATATTATACCCACATTCAATTGATATTTATTGTTTTTTGGACAGGGATCACTTTAACCACGTTATGAAATGGTACATATGGCATAAAATGTTTATTCTATGATTGCAAGGCAAGAAAAGTTTTTAAGTTTACAGAAGTTTATTTTGTAAAATTTAAATTAAATTGTACAGTTTGTGAATTTTAATTAAGCCAAATCGTAAACAGAAAAACCGAACATTGGCCAACATCCAATACTCAAAGTCAAGTAAATCAATCTATATAATCACTAAATTAATACTTTTTGCCTTCAATCATAACAATAATGATTAAGTCTTAATTAATCAGTCATTTCATCTAGAATCTTTGTTGGAAGTTGCCCTGCTGTTGTGAGTTGCCTCCTTGCTGCTGCCCACCGAACATCATCTGTTGCTGTTGATGGAACTCTTGTTGTCCACCGCCTGAGGTGTTGTTACCTTGATTTGGTCCTGAAAATTTATTAGTAAGGTTTTACTGATTATATTTTCAAGATTTAAACTAACAAAATATCATGATTCAATTAATAGAAATATGTAGATCTCAGTTACCAGTCTAATATTACTTTGATACAGTTTTAAGCATTTCAACCTTTCAAGTTCCGAAACATCCCTATGGCGATCTACATGTCAAAGTTATAGACCCCGCCAAAAAGTATAGTAATATTTAGAAGGAACACCTTAGAACAATAGATAATAGTGTTTAGAACTTAAACAGTCTTATTCCAAAAAAATGTTTTAGTACTGGGTTAAGTTTAGGAGTAAGAAGTCCAGGTTTGTTACAATATTCTAGTTAATACCAGCACTAAAACGTGTGCTTATTACAAAACGCAGACTACCCGAGGACCAGTTAATACCAACGTTAGTATTATATTAAATATCATTCACAGATAAAAAACAAAAAATGACACTCTATCATTCGTTCATACAGGTTTCATTCAATGCAACGTTCGGTTTCATAAAATATTAATATTATTTTCACACTTAATTATGCTTAAATAATTATCCATCAATACAAAAACATATCATACATTGTTATTTGTTTACGTTAAAATCTATTGAACAAGCACGACATATACTTTTGACGCGCTTTTGATTATATCAAGTTGTTTTCAGTTTAACAACTCTAGCGTGAAATGTAGTGAATTACAGAGGTAACGCGAGCGCGGGATTCGAGACGTTCAAAATAGTTTATATTGCAGCCTTATAATAAGTAAATTAAATTATTAATAATTAATTAATTAAAAGTACTTGCTATTACAGTTATATTTATATAATAATGGAACAAAAGAAAAAACGGGGTGAAAATTGGAGTTCTGAAGAAAAAGTTAGTGAAATATCGAAATTTATTTGTCAGTACGTACCAATACTCTTATCCTCCTATTATCCTTATTTCAACTAAAAGGAATGTTCTTATTATTATAGGAAATATTACGTTCACTTATTTCACAATCAGCACATATAATAGAGAATAAGTCGACAAAAACATCGGTAAATATTCAAAAAATAAAAGAGTGGAAGAATATAACTAATAAGTAAGTATTTATCGCATTTGTTATGTGTACAAACAACACGGTACGGTATTGTTTACGTGATTTCGTATTTTTTTTAGATTTAATGAGATAACAGGTAAACGCCGATCAGATGGTGAATTGAAATTATCTTGGAAAAGAATGAAGTTGTGTGCTAAATCAAACTTATACACATATAGGAGGGAACAATCAAAGACCGGGGGTGGCGGAAAACCTCCATCACCTTCTCTTGAGGACTTGGAAATAATGTCCATTGCCCCTCACGACTTTATCGTTGAAGTTAATAATTATGATAGTGATGCAGTGGTAAATAAAATTACTTACATGTCTTACAAATTTAATTAAAATTAAAGAACTTTATTTTCCATTACTTTAGTACCTAGGTAGTGCTCTGAAATCTACTCTTAAAGCATACAATTTACAATCCAAAATTATTTTCCGAATATTCAAAATTTAATATACTTAGTAACAATTTAACATAAATTTCTTTATAATTAATTATATTCAAAATTGAAATGTCACAAATTAATATATAGTGGTCTATATAATATCATAACACACATGTTACTAGATTATCTACACAGTCCGATTATAATTTTCTATTTTTGTCTATTAGGTATTATAATTAATAATTTATTAAATTACCTTTTGTCTTGGATCATAATAATATTTCTACAACATAGAAAATACCTGATTCAATAAAGGGCAAAATAGAGGTGACAGGTGACAGGAAAACATGTTAATAAATGTTTTAATGATTTATTTTAGGATCCAGTGACTGTGGCTACAACATCAAAAGAAGTTGCTGACCCTAAGCCTCGCCTTAATTTTGAAAAAACAGACACAGCTATAGTTAAAAATGTAGAAAATCCAGAACCCAATGTTGTATATGTGCAAGGTAAATAATACTGATTGAATATTTATTAAAAAGCAAAATATATTATTATTATAGTTACAATCATAGGCATACAAGTTTGTAAATATTATAAATGTTAATTTTCTAAAACTGTTATATTTATATTAATTTTTAGAGATAGATCCAACTACAGATACAGAAGAAAGTGCCAAAATGGTGAAAATAACCAACAATAAAGATATTATTACTAGGGGTATAACAAAAATTAAAAACAGGAAAAATAGCTTGCAAAATAGGTATGTTGAAAAAATTACATAGTCTGATACATTACATACTTTTTAAAATGTGAAAATTAGTATTTAAACACTGAAAATTGTTTCATGTTTTCAAATATTAAAAGCAAAGTTTAATATGAATTGATTTAAAAATAATTAAAAAATATTTCTTTAATTGGTGTACAAGGTTAAGTGCACTTTTATTACTCTAGAATACTTTGTAAATGTCTAAAATAACTACAAAACTTACATTAAGTATTCCATTTCATTTTACAGAAGAGAAGATGTACACCAAACAATTGTAAAAAGTAACACAGATTTAAAAAAAAGACAACTGGAAATGATTGAAGAGGAACATAAATACAATATTAAAATAGCTAACCTAAAAATTAGAAAATTAGAGTTACAAATATCTTTATTAGAAAGTCAGAAAAACACAAGTTAAATAGCAGCTTAATGCTGCTGTGTTTATTATGGTGAGTTTATAGAACGAGAATAGAATAGAATGAGTTTTATTAAATATAGATTATTACAGAATACTTATTGAAAGACATTTTTTATTTACCACTGGTTCGGAAAATACCTCAGTCCTGGGAAGAACTAGTAAGAAACCCAGTGGGACTTTTTTATAAACATATTTCTCTTAACAATAATTTTATTTGTACAATTTTTAAATGAATTTTAATAGAACCACCATGGTGGCGATCACCTCAATTCCAGTATTTCCAATATTTTCATTTATGTATTCTTTGATATTATAATAACCTTTTTATAAAATTTTTCTTTAATAAAACATTTAAACTTGTTTATTGACAAATTTTGGATAAATTTTTGTACAAATTTTGTATGAGAGAGACCTCTTTTACAGGAAACGAGGCATTCCATCTTACTCCACACGGGTGACAACGCATCTGCATTTTGATTTGTAGTCGAGGATAGATGTGGACGTCTATGCACCACAGCAGTTACTTAACATCAGATGGACTGTGTGTGTGTGTGTGTGTGTGGTAGACTGTGTTTATCATCATTATCCTATAAAAAAAAAAAAATATTTGAGACTATATCAGATACATGTTTGTAAATATCCTCATATATGAAACTATTATTTTCAGGTACTTAATTGCTGCAAATATTTGTACATCTTTTATTAATAATTAAAATAAATAATTATAATTAATATGCATTTTATTTACATAACAATGAAATATAATATACAATAGTAAAAAACTATAATAAAAAAAACTAAACCTATTTACTTAGTTATCATACAGTCCTACTCCCCGTGGACCCTTGCACCTCTGGAAAGGAAATCTGGCTGTGAATGTAGAGGAGGGACGATATTTATTAAAAAATCTAAATATATCTCTACAGCACTTAAATCTTTATATAATATAGCTTCATATTGATGTGGAATGTGCTGTACCCCGCATCTTTCCCTGAAACACAATCATTTATAGCCTAAATAAAAGCATTTTGCTCAATAAATGAAATATTATCACAATACTCCCCTGAATTTATTTCATATTGGTGAATATGTAGTCGTTATTCTTTGACAGCTGACAACGGCTCTGCAGAAATATGTTCCTTTATAAATGGGTATTATGTCTGAAATCAAAAAGAAATATTATTATAATTGTCTTATACATTTATTGATCTTTAATGTAATTTTATAGCCAAAATTGGCCTCTGAATAACAAAATAAAATAAATTATATATACATAGCTTTAGACAATTGAAAAAAATTTGACAATTTTATAAATATAATTATAAATTTTAATTATAAATAGTTATATAAATATGTAAAAAAAAATGTTTACCTACTGAAAATGAGTTTCAATAAACTGTCTTCTTCTAATATTTCCCCTTATTGATGGTGTAATATATCTTTGTACTATAGGTTCAGATGAATATTGTTCAATGCTATCTCTCTCACCAGAAAACACATCTTCTCTCATGTCGATGGCCATATTGTGTAGTACAGCACATGCAACAATTGTTTTTTTGCTGTTTCAATATCTCCAAACATACCTCTTAATAGGCAACGAAACCGTTGCTTCCACAAACCAAAACATCTTTCCACTGTGTTCCTGGTACGGATATGGCTCCTATTATATCTTTCTTTTTGTGGTGTTGTGGGGTTCAGCAGCGGTGTAAATAGGTAAGGAGTACAAGGATAGCCACTGTCACCAAGTAATATTCCAGAGAATGCACCAGCCTCAAACCTCTGTTTTAGTCTACATTCTCGGAATATTCTGGAGTCATGTACACTACCACGCCACCTGGTAACAATGTCCATGATTTTCAGGTCAGCATCACAAACCACCTGTAAAATAAGAGCTCATTAGTACTTTATGTTTTTCTGGTTTATTTTAATATATATTTATTACCATAAGATAGTCAAACAAATTATTTTCTATTATGATAAAGTAAAGTTATTAAGAGACAATCACAGCTATTTAAAATATTTGTATATTACCTGTACATTAATTGAAGAAAATCCTTTTCTATTAATATATAACTGACCCCCATCAGCATTCACTTTCTTTACTCGTATGTGAGTACAGTCAATTGCGCCAATTACTGTAGGAAAATTAGCAATACTGCGAAATTTCCTAATGGTTTCCTGTTGTTCATTTAAAGTAGTAGGCATTTTAATAAATTCTCGGGAATTCCGTGACAAAATTTCCGCTACTTTTTTACATGTCCTACTGACTACTGGTTGAGACACACTATGTAAACCAGCTGTATCGTCTTGAATCTACGAATAAAACAATAATATGTATTATTTGG